AAAGGCCAGGGTTTTCACTAGCAGATATTCCCATGGAAGGGACTAGGCGAGGCATTAATTTGGAAAAAGAAAAAAAAAAAAAAGGAAAAAAAATCAATAAAACGGCACCTCCTAGTGGTAGAACTCTAGAATTATCAGTAGGTTAACAGTACAGTAAAAATCGAGCTGAGACAATGTAAATAAGTGTAAAATAATTAGAGCGAGTTAGCAGAACATCTCAGAGTGATCATTGCAAATCAAGTTATTGGGATTCCTTAAATGTTTTGAATGCTAAAGCAAAGATCATATTAACCTTCAACATATGGGAAATGAAATTTTCCCAAATAAAATTCACCAGGCTGTTGCACAGAGACACCCTGTCTCAAAAAGCAAAAAACAAAAAAAGGAAAGAAAAACCCAAAAAACAAGTAAAATGGTTATAGGAGCCATTTGCACCCCACTGCCATGGGGTACAAGTGAAAGCCATTGACTCTTTAGGTAATGGGGTAATTGCAGACATCCACATGACCTATTAGAGCCATTGATTCATTAGTATCGGGACGCAGTACCATCGGTGCAATTGGGCATATTTCTATAATTGAGATTGCTAAGGCTCCAGAAGTTATATCAATATCTGAGTGTCACTGTCTCCAGTTCTGTAAATCTGTTACTAAGCTCCTTGTGGCCCGCCATAGAATGTGCCCCCACCCTACAGCTCGCCGTGTTTTCTAAGTAGAAGGATGTACAGCAGGGCCATTGCCGTGAGAACTCTGCAGTCAGCCTGGTGCGTGGCCTGGGCAGTTGATTCAGTCCTTCCTAACCCATATCTTTCCCTGGAAAATATATTTGTGAAAGATGGTGTAGTCAAGGCTGTGCTTTTAGAACTACAGCAAGGAAAAAACTGGGCATAAGGGTGCACACCTTGAAGCTGAGGCAGGGAAATTGAACAATGGAGGTCCTGGGCTACAGAGAGAGTCTTTCTCTCAAAAAGGAAAGGAAGGAAGGAGGAAGGAGGAAAGAGAAGGAAGGAAGGAAGGAAGGAAGGAAGGAAGGAAGGAAGGAAGGAAGGAAGGAAGGAAGGAAGGAAGGGAGGGAGGGAAAAGCCTCAAAGGTGAACTACGGTGGTCATGCCTGTTGTTGCCTTGCAGAGCTCTAGAATCACCTGGGGATGGGGAAAGGGGCCTGTGGGGACATCTGTGAGGGGTTACCTTGGTTAGACTGAATAAGATGAAGACTCCCTTGCTGTGGGCAGCACCCTACCTAGGATGGGATCCTGGACTGGATAAAAAGGAGACCAGGAACAGAGTGCAAGCATTCATTCTCTCGGATTCCTGACTGCACACAAGGTTCCCAGCTGCCTCACTCTCCTGCCGCCCTGCCAGGATGGACTGCTTCCTGGCACTCTGGATCAAGACAACCCCTTTCTCTATTAAGATGCTTCTGTTGGGGTATTTTATTACATTTTCATTCTTTTGTGTGCATGCACATGCCACAGTGAATATGGCACAGCACACATGTGAGGTCAGAGGATAACTTACAAGAGTCTGCTCTCTGCTTGTGGGTACTGGGGATCAAACTCAGGTCTGCAGGCTTGGCAGTGGGTTCCTTTGCCACTAAGCTGTGTCACCAGCCCCCTCAGTATTTTATCACAGCAACAGAAAGGGAAGAAAGAAGACAGGAAAAGGAAGAGAGGAGATGAGATGGTGCTTAGAACATCCCGTGGCCTCCAGTTACAAGCCAAGAAGCATCCGCTGTGATGAACTGGTACAACACCGATTCCCCAGCTCTTCAGAGTTGCCAGCTTTGGGTTATCTTTAACTCTTGGGATCCAGACAAGAGATCAACAGTACATGCCTGACGTAAGCCAAATGGCTGAAAGGCAATCAACAGCAGCGTATTGCTTGAGAGTAGACTGCAGATGAGAACAGAATTTATGCATTCTTACTTGGCACCCTGCTGCATTGTTTGACTGTGTTGCAGTAAGCATGTGTTGTACTATAGTCAAAATAAATAAATCAATAAGAAGTAAATAGACACAGAATATTTCAAAGCTTGCTTCTGCAATGCACTCTAGTTCTTAGAGCTTATCTTCTGGAATTTCTTTTGTATATCTACCATCCCAGGTCTCTCAGTCCTCGGTAGAGTGCATTCCCAGGGTGCATCTGTAAGAAGGGTTGTTGGTGCTGTACTGGTTCAAAGTGTAAGTACAATGGTGCTCAGACAGAGGAAGAGGGAAGCCATGTACCACGGAAATGGAGGTGTGGCGAGATTTCCATTGACCAGAGTGCTGGAAGCTGCCACAATGTTCTGCTACCTGGGCAGCATGCTGTCCATCTGCCCTTAGGTTGTCAAGGAAAGCAGTAGCCAAAGAGAGAAGCAAGCCATCAGACGTCCTGTCCAGTGTGGCTCTGCTGCCCCCACAAAGCCAGAACACAGCCAAACATGCTGGTTCCCACCAGCTAAAGGATTGTGCGACTGTAGAAATCACCAAACTGCCTCATGGTGTTTAGCATCTGGTGAGGGGTATTTGCTTATGGTCTATTTTAAACACCATCTTGCAACTATTAGACAAGTTTCTTAGTGTGCCCTACCAACTAAGCAACATCTCCAGCCGCCTTAGTCTCTCTTATTAAATGGGTGTATATGTTGGTAATGACAGTTTATCTTGAACCCTTGAGCTTGCTTTTCCTTCCCTTGCCTGCCAAGTGCAGGTATTCTCATTGCCTAGATCCCCAAAGGGTTTATTTCTCTTGTACCAAGGTCCACTGGGAAGGGGAAGGACAAGCTCTGCTCTAGTCTTTCAGGAACCAAAGTAGAAACGGGCTCTACCATCTTTAAAGCTGGCTTGCCAATGACACCCTGAGCTTTGGCATCCAGCTGATGCACTATTAGAAAAATCATGTAGGTGGGGAGGGGGGTATTATGAGTCATTGCAGAAAATAGTGCCATTATATTCTGCCAAAGAGAACCCAGACACATGGCCACCACCATCTATCTGTAAAGTAGACATGACAACATTGGTCATCAGTTGTGCCTAAAGAAAATGTGGTCAAGAAGCTGGCAAAGAGAGTTCATCCTATCTGCCATAAGGGATCCCACATAATGAATCATGTGAAGTAAGGATTCCAAGAGTGTAATGATGCGTGCTTGGCTTAATGGCTTATGGAGGGGCTTATGCCAAAAAAGGTAGAATGCCCAAGCCAAGGACAGACAGTGAGCTGGGCAGATGGGATGGGTTGACTCATTTGGGGCTAAGCGTTTGGGGCGGGGCATTCTGGTAAATTGCTTGTTTAGTTTTTAAATGTTCTTGATGCCTGCCTTCAGACCTTGAAGAACACACTTCCTGCTGCTCTATATCATGTGACTGGTTCCGGCCAATGGCAAGAACGACAACATTCCTTCTAGACTGAGTTGTTGGTGTGAGGCTCTCCAGAGGACTCTCTCCCCTTTTCCAAGGACCAACGGTGTTCCAGTGAGATCCCTTTTCATTAGCCCGGGTCCTGCAGACAGACAGATTAGTGATGTTCCGCACCTGTGCAGCCTCTTGTCCTGAGACACAGAGACTTTGTCAAATGAATGTATTACAGTTTATTTAATGTGTGTTGTGCAGCAGACACCTTCACCTGCTGAGCCATCTCACTGCGGCATCAGTTAGCTTATTCTGCCTGATAGGCACTTTTTCAGTCCAGAGGCCTTGGATTGCCAAGATACCCTCCCCCTCGCCCCGAACAACCAACCAAAAGATCTACTATAAATCCTCAGTCCTAGGAACTAAGGAGTCCCGATCCTCAACATAATGTGTAAAGCCAGGCATGGGTGCGTGAGAATTCCAGCACTTGAGAGACTCCTATTCTAAATGCTGATAGAATCAACTCTCAATAGACCCTAGATATGCTCTGTTCCTTAAAGGATCGCTCATTTGCAGACAATTCAAGCCACAAAGTGCTGAAGAGAGATATTAAGGGCAGATTAAGGCCTAATCAAAGTCGTTCCTCCAATCCCACAGAATCAGAGGCTTTAAAAAGATAGGAAGGGAACTAGGGAGGGACTCGTGGGCAGTCATCAAAAGCATTTTTACTGTAGAGGACAATTTTGGCTACTGGGCTTGGTTTAATTCAGCAGCATTGGAAGAGCGCCATGGTGCCAGCCAGCTGGGCCAGCCACCTTAGCCAGAGCTTGCCAAGCAGTCAATTCCTTAGGTGCAGGCTCTGTGGGTTACTCACCTGTGAACAGATGGTACTTAAGAACTTGCTTTTGAGTTGACGACCCGTTTCTAGCTTGAACACTGGTTCTGCCACTTAATAACTAGGTATCCTTGGCCACTTAAGCTCCCTCATGCAGCCTCACAACCTGTAAAACGGAGATACAAACAAATGCCCACGCCTTTGATCTATGGAAGCTAAACGAGACTCCTGTGTGGGAAGCTGCTAACCGCAGCTTCAGTGGGCTGAGTGCTCGGAGAAGCGAGGGAGTGTGGTCTTCCTAGAAACCGTCCTTTCTGTCAGGAGCTACAAGTACAATACAATACTTAGTGATCGTGTCCATAGCAGTTTCAAGAACTCTTCTGCCAGAGGCTGTCAACGCTATAAAAGTTGTACAGTGTTTACCTCAAAAGGATTGGTTTTCTTTCTTTCTTTCTTTTTTTAAATTTTCAAGACAGGGTTTCTCCGTAGCTTTTGGTTCCTGTCCTGGAACTCGCTCTTGTAGACCAGGCTGGTCTCGAACTCACAGAGATCCGCCTGCCTCTGCCTCCCGAGTGCTGGGATTAAAGGCGTGCGCCCCCACAGCCTGACTTAATTAGCCTGTTTTTATATTTATTTATTTATTTATTTATTTATTTATTTATTTATTTTTGGTTTTTCGAGACAGGGGTTCTCTGTGGCTTTGGAGCCTGTCCTGGAACTAGCTCTGTAGACCAGGCTGGTCTCGAACTCACAGAGATCCGCCTGCCTCTGCCTCCCGAGTGCTGGGTTTAAAGGCGTGCGCCACCACCGCCCGGCTGGTTTTCATTTTATCTGTAGTGTTTGAATGTTTACAAGTATTAAAATAAGTACCTTTTGAAGGGGAAAACATGTTTGGCCAGCAGGGTTACCAGCTTATTTGCTGAGCCTTTCGGTTCTTTTAGATACTGCAAAAGCAAGGACGAGAAAACTCTAGTTATCACCCCTGTTAATACGGCAGCCCTTCCCACAGCGGCCTGTGAGTAGAAACAAAGTAAAATCTTCTCACAACTTGTAGACTAACTGTCACATCCTACCGTCAGGCCCGTTGGTCCTTGGGGTGAACAATTTATCTACACTCTTCCCGGTTCAGAGGCAACTAAGTCTTAAAGAGGAATCTAGGTGCAGGCTGGGCTGGGCTGGGCTACGCGGACCGTCGGCCCCAGCTAGGTCGTTCCCGGTTCGGAAACGCTCTTGCCGCTGCAGGCCCTACCGGGCCGAGGGGCGGGACCCAAGCCTCGGCCTCGCCTCCCGCTGCCGCCCGCCGCCCGCCGCTTCCCGGCGGCTGTGCCGGGCGACGCCGCCAACATGCTGCAGAAGCGGGAGAAGGTGCTGCTGCTGAGGACTTTCCAGGGCCGGACGCTGAGGATCGTTCGCGAGCACTACCTGCGGCCTAGCGTGCCCTGCAACAGCCCGCTCTGCCCGCAGCCAGCCGCCTGCCGCAACGGTCAGGACCTGGGAGGCCGGGGCCCGAGGAGGGAGGGAGGGAGGACGGGATCGGAGGAGGGAGGAGGGAGGCTGGGGCCTGAGGAGAAAGGGAGGCCGGGCCTGACGTAGCGAGGGAGCTGGGGCCGAGGGGGAGGCCGAGGCCGAAGGAAAGTGGAGGCCGACGCTCCAGGCGCAAAGGGAGCCCGGGCCTGGCGTCGTGATGGCGACCGGGCACTAGTGAAGGGAGCAGGGACCTAAGGAGGGAGGAGAACCGGGCCCTGAAGAGCGAGGGCGGCTTTGGCCTGGCGTCTAGGGCGGAGCCAGAACGAGCAAAACCAGCCTGGGCTTGGCGAAACCAGGGCAGCCCGGAAGGCGGCCCGGAGCGTTCTCTGCCGTCCTGCAGCTTCAGGGGCGCCCCTCGCGGGACTCGTCTACTGCCGTGGCCCGGTCAAATGGGGGCGACGAGAGAGAGCCTGGTGTTCCCTCGGCCCAGAGGCTCCGGGTGCTTCGGGGTTTCCGAGGGACCTGAAGGCGTAGCACCTTCCTCTTTGCGCCGGTACTCGGTGGCTGTGCCGTGGGGGAGGCCCGCCCGCAGGAGGCTGCTCGTTTCTGGCTCCTGAGCGCGCTGCTGGGCGTTTGGCATTGCCTGCTCTCCTCCTGCCAGGATGCAGGCCCTCCAGCCTGACAGCCCCGTCATTGTAGGAGACTTGGGCTGGCCACTGCTGTGGGCCAGACTTCCCCCTTTCCAGCCTGCTGTTTGTTACCCCTAGTGGGAGATGAACGTGAGGGTCTTTTCATAATATATGATTGGGGTCACAGCTTGACGAAACAGCTGTCAGTTGAGTGGCAGCCCTACCTCTGCCCATACTCTTTCTAGTACATTCTCTTCAATGAGAGCAATGGTTCTCAACCTTCCTAATGTTGCAACCTTTTAATACAGTTCCTCATGTTGTAGTGACCCCACCACCACAAATTTTTTTTTTTCCTTTGGATTTTCGAGACAGGGTTTCTCCCTAGCTTTTGGTGCCTGTCCTGGAACTAGCTCTTGTAGACCAGGCTGGCCTCGAACTCACAGAAATCCGCCTGCCTCTGCCTCCCGAGTGCTGGGATTAAAGGCGTGCGCCACTACCGCCCAGCTAACACACAAAATTATTTTATAGCTACTTCATAACTTATTTTGCTACTGTTATGAATGTTAATATAAACATCTGATGTGCGACCCCTGTGAAAGGGCCGATTGTCCCTGGAGTCGTGACCCACGGGTTGAGAGCCACTGCCTTAGAGCCTTGTAGCCATGTTCAGAAGCTTCAAACGGAAAAACTTGGGACTTTTTAGGTACATAGAAGTAGTTAACGCACATATGCACACGTGTGCATTTATATCTCTGTGTGTATGTAGATGTAGGTATATAATGGATATGTAAATATCCATTAGAATGTTGGTGCATGCCAGTGACGAGTTAATAGAAATTTAGCTTCTGCCGAAGATGTACTTCTTTTTAAAATATCAGTCATCTTCTCCCGCCGAATGGCAACAGCATAAACCATGCCGGGCTTGTATTTAATCACAGCTTAAAGAAAGGAGAGAAGGTGGCAGTGAATCTACTCTGAACTCAGAGCCGCTACCAGAGTAGATTTGTCTTGTCTTTTAAAAACTTCAAGGTGAAATTAAGATGAGAAGTTATTTTGCACACCGGGGCACTGTGACATTGAAATAGTCATAAACCGGCTTTGAAAATGTTACCTAATCGCTTCCTCTCTGAATTATGTTTCAGATGGGAAGCTCTTGTCTGCAGAAGTCACTCATTATGTGATTCCAGACTGGAAAGTTGTCCAGGATTACCTTGAGGTCCTCGAGTTTCCCGAGTTGAAGGGAATTATTTTCATGCAAACGGCTTGTCAAGCTGTGCAGCACCAGAGAGGCCGGAGGTATCTGTTCCACATTATTTATTTATTTATTGTGAAGGTTCTCCCACCCCCTTTACAAAGGGTCCCTTGTTGGAGGGGAGGAGGAGGAATTCATTACTTTGTCAGAAAGGGTTTTTGAAACTAATTTGGTATTCTCTTTGCTGGTGAGGAAGGCAGCAACATTTTATATGTGTGCTTCAACACCTGACCAAAAGATCTGACGGTATAAACTGCAATGTCCCCAGGATGTGGGTATTTAAGGCTCTGTGGTAAATTGGCTTCTGATTTACATTTTTATAGGTAGCATAATTGTTTCTTTTTATTTTTGCTAATAATGTATATTATTTAATCTTACTGATAGATTGTTTCAGGAGCATCCTTTTCTTGGGAAAAGAGTACTTTTAAATCCTATCTTCCTTTATTATGGATGCAAACTGTACTTACAGTGATTTATTCAATGAAATTAAAAAATAGCTCATTCTTATTTTTAGATTAGTCCTGTAACTATCAGCCATAGTAATTGTATTTACTGAACAAAACGTTTTTAATTGAACCAAGTTTAAAATACATGCCTTGTGCCTAAATAAAAGAAAAGTTGCCCCCTTTTGTAGAAATACCCTAAAATACAGTTTTGCTTCATTTAACTTTCAGAAACTTTTATGATCTGAACTTAAGACTAGGAGAATAGCATGTTAGAATTATATACCCAAACTCTCAACACCCCAAGCTATTTAACAAGGAGAAACTGGATTTATTCTGTTTTTAAGATGCCTTGGTTTCTTCAGACTTTGGTAGTAAAAGATAAAGTTTTCTTTATTTGTATATGAAAATGATAAATTGTCCTTATGTTCAGTTCAGGAAAATATACGTTAACTGGAATGTGCTGGGGTTTTTTTTTCAAATTGAGTATTTTAAAATGAGCTTGGAGTTGATTTTATTCAGTCACAGAGATATAAATGTTTGCACACATCCAGGTTTAAACACTGCTGCAGGTGTCGTATTTCAATTTCTTCTACTAAAATCAATTTGCTGTTATCATTCAGATCGCTCACACACTGCAAGCCTCTTCAACTTCTGTTTTCTAAAATGTTTTTAATATTAGGATTGTTTGGAAAACCAATTCCTGAGACAACCCAAAGCAGAGAGTTGGAATTTAAATGTCCTTTCTGCTGAGATCTCCATAGTTAAGTTGATGAAGGGCTGCTGCTATTGGTTTTGCTGTGCTTCACTCTGTGTTAGTATTCTGTATGAGAGAGCAAAAGGTGAGGAGCTGGGAAGCAGGCCCTGCTCTACCCTTGTTTCTCGTTAGATAAGCACTTGGTCAGCCTGCACAATTGGTGGCTTTAACAGATCAACCAAGTGCTGGGTCGTAAGATTTCCCGTTTCTTAGTTAGGGTTTCTGTTGCTGTAAAGAGACGCCATGACCACAGCAGCTCTTATAAATGAAAACATTTAATTGGGGCAGCTCGTTTTCAGTTTCAAAGGTTCCATCCATTGTCATCATGGTGGGGAGCATGGTGGCATGCAGGCAGACATGGCTGAGAGTCCTACATCTTGCAGGCAACAAGAAGTCGACTGAGACACTGGGCAATGATATCCTGAGCATAGGAAACCTCAAAGCCCGCCTCCACAGTGACACACTTCCTCCAACAAAGCCACATCTCTTTATAGCGCTACTCCCTATGAAATCATGGGGCCAACTACATTCAAACTACCACACACTCAAATGTTACAATATCAGTCCTGTTTCTAGCAGAAAATGTTTTCCTGGGTACCCAATAGCCAGGAGTGGTGGCAGCTGCCTGTAATCCAGAGATTGTAAAGAAGAGGCAGAAGGTCAGGAGTTCTAGGTCAGTCTACGTTATATAGAAAGCTTGAAGCCAGTGTAGACTGTATGAGACTCTGTCATAGCAAACAAGCATGCATGATTGTATTGGTATTTAGCTATAAATCTATTTGTAGTCTTCATGTTTAAGCACTTAATAAACCTTAAACCAAATTAGACCTTTAAATTTAACAAACAGCACAATATTATAAAACTGTAAGTGTATTACAGTAGTCCCTTGGTTTATAAAAGGAATTAATTCTAGGACCCCAGAAATCTGCAGCTCTTTAAGTTCCAGATATAAAATGGCATTGGAGAGCTAGAGAGATGGCTCAGTGGTTAAGACCATTTGTTGCTCTTGAAGAGGACCCAGGTCTGATCCCCTTAACCTCAGGGTGATTCACAACTTTCTAAAACTCCAGTTCCAGAAGATCCAGTGCCGTTCCTCTTCTGACCTCTGTGGGCACCGAGCATTCTCGTAATATACATATATACATACATACATACATACATACATACATACATACATACATACATACACACAGAAAATGAATAAATCTAATTTTAAAGATAAATAAATAACACAGTGGCATCAGGCCAGCAAGGTGGCTCAGCATGTAAAGGGTCTTGTCACCAAGCCTGATGACCTTAGTTTAATCCATAGTATCCACATGGTGGAAGGAGAGAGCCAGCTCCCTCAAATTGCCCTCTGACCTGCACACATGCTCTGTGACATGCACATCCTCCGAAAAGGTAAGTGTAGTAAACATTGTTTTAAATAGCATGGTGTTTGCATGTAGCCTCCACTCATCCTCCTGTAGGCTCTAAGTCATCTCTGTTACTAAGACACAAAACACAGCCCAAGTGCTGTGCAAACTATTGTTACACTGCATTGTGTGAGGAACAAAGACAGGGAAAGCATCCATTCCCCGTACAGTCAAATCTTTTATTTCTAGGTATTTTCTGTCTGCAAATGAAGTGCCCTTAGGTATGGACCATGAGTGCAGGGGTGGGGGCTGGCTCTGAGGTAATATGATAGATGGTATCACTTTGCTGGAATGAAATTGCCAGGGTTGCATCTAACAACAGAGAGATATAACCTGTAATCCTGTTGTGCGGTGATGTGGTTTTATATTTTGATCTCAGGAATACCAATGTAGAGAATTGCTGTTCTCATAAATAGACTGTGGAGAACAGTTGAATAATGTCAAGTCCTTGATTGTGCAGGATAATCACGCATCTGTCACCTAGCAATCCTCAAATGCTTATTTAATTAAGGGGCACTTGATGACTGTGAGGCTCTCCACACGTTCATTCATTCAGATGTGCATGTGTTCATCCAGATGTTTACCCAGAGACTGCTAGGACTGGAATACAGCAGTAAACAGAGGTAGATCCAGTCCTGAGAGAGGACAGACAAGCCCAGGTCACCTCACAAACAGATGTAGAGCCACAGCTGGGCAGATGTTCCGAAGTACCAGGACACACTGTGACAGACCCCCAGCCAATCAGGGAGCAAGGAAGGGCTTTCCCGAGGGAGCTGCCTGTCCTGAGCTCTTAGGGACGAGGAGGAGGAGACCTGGCAAGGGAAGCTTTCCAGGAAAAGGAGATTTCTGGCCAAGCCTCCACTCGAGGAACTGGAAGGGCGCTGGGTCAGATGGAGGCCTCATAGGATTTGGGATGTCAAGGGAGGTTTTTATTCAGGATGGCATGGCATCAAGTTCCTGTTTGAAAAGATTACTGGACTCAGTTGAAGAGTCCTGAAGGAAAGAAGGCTGTAGGCTGTAGGTGTAATTCAGATGACTGGTATATTCGCTTGTGTGCATTACTATAACAAAACACTTGATATAGGTTACTTTCTCCTTTGTATAAAGCCACGAGCAATTCAATCCTGGGATTCTGGCTGAGGACATTTGAATCCTAACTACCTCCCAGAATCATCTCTGTGCACAGGAATCTGATTGACTTTCCACCCTGTGAATATCTCACAGGGGGATGAAATTGCAGTGCATGGCCCACTAGAGAGCACATTCAAACCATCCCAACGTGTAGTGAGGACATGGGCGGAAATGGGCAGAGGCAGGCACTGACTTTGCAACATTGCAGACTGAGTGGTGTTAGCTGCTTTTCGGTTACTGTGACAACTATACCCGAGAACATTAACTCATGGAGAGGAAAGGTTCGTCTCCATACCTGATGAGAGAGGTTCCAGTCTCTGCTCTGTCAGCCCTGTTGCACTGAACCTGTAACACACATCAGGGTAGGAGAATGTGGCCGAGCAGAGCTGCTCCCTCATGACCAGGAAACAGAGAGCCGAGTCCCACAGTCTTTTTAAGGTTCTCTTCCCAAATGACTAGAAGGCCTCCTCCCTGGGATGCCTGGAAGCTCTACTGCTCACAGAGAAACAAACTTCTGGGGGCAAGAAGGAAATTCAGTTCAGCATGACTATAGTTAGTGGGCTGGTTCAAACGTCTGGAGTCTAGCCCCAAGCAGTTTCTTTTTTACATATTTAAACACATAGAACTTTGAAAAAAAATTCCTCTTGACAATTATCATAACAAAATTTAAGGTGTGGCTACATCAAAACTCCCCTGCAAAGTGCACTTCTTGCAATCCACAAGAATGGGTTCTAAAGAGCAGTGGTGGCACACGCCTTTAATCCCAGAGGCTTACAGATCTCTGTGAGTTCAAGGCCAACCTGCTCTACAAGAGCTAGTTCTGGGACAGACACCAAAGCTACAGAGAAACCTTGTCTTTGAAAGGAAAGAAAGAAAGAAAGAAAGAAAGAAAGAAAGAAAGAAAGAAAGAAAGAAAGAAAGAAAGAAAGAAAGAAAGAAAGAGCAAGAAAGCAAAGCACATTAGCAAACTCTTTTGCAAAGTACGTGGGACCTATAGGAATGGATTGTATTGCCTAAAAAACAGTGCTCAGGAGTCTGGGAGATTCAGATGAGAGCTGACTCCATCCACTAACAAAAGATCATCAAGTTAGCAAACTCCAGCCTTCTGGGTGAACAGATGCCAATTTCTTCGGTTGAAGGAAAAAGCCTGAGTATTTAACAGTTCTGGTTTCTCTAGTGCTGTCTGAAAGCACACTCCTTCTATACTCCTCAAGACTCCATCCCTTAAAGGTTCTGCTATATCTAAATAGCATCACTGTGGGTCATTTAATATAGGAAGCCTGGGGACATCCAGATCCAAACTGTAAATGTAAACGGGAGCGGCAGTACAGGCCTGAAATCTTAACACTCAGGAGGTTGAGGCACGGGGATCAAAGTAAGTTAATAAAGCCAAGCGCACGCCTTTAATGCCAGCACTCAGGAGGCAGAGGCCTGCAGAACTCTGGGACTACATAGTAAAACCCTGTCAGAAAAGAAAATTTGTAGCCAACCTGAGTTTGATTTATAGGTTGGCCTAGGTTCCATAGCAAGACTCAGTCTCAAAATGTTTTGTTGGGTTTTTTGATAATTTGTTTGGTTGGTTGTGTGTGTGTGTTTTGTGTGTGTGATTTGTGTTTTTTAAACCCAAGCATTATCTAGGTGTGGTGATTCAGGGTCAGCAGATGTCAGCAAGTAAAAGGCACTTGCCACCAAGCCTGCCAGCCTGAGGTCAGTCTCTGCTCTATCAGCCCTGTTGATGGGAGCAGAGAACCAGCTCCTGTAAATTGTTCTCTAGCCTCCATGATGAGCATGCACATGCGCACAAAGTAAATGTATGTCATTTTTATGATTCAGACGACAGCATGAATCCTATGATGACTATTGAGATCCTCCAAAATGGACTCCATGATGCCATTTAAGTAGTGGCTAATAGGACTGGAAACATAAACGTATTGAAGTTGTAAGACCCCTGAAAGTAGGTCTAGGAGACCCTAGCATGGCGCTGCATAGCCCAGCAAAGAAAGACCTTTGAATATCTGATCTTCCTGCCTCTCCCTGCCAAGTCCTAGGATCGGGATCAAAGCTGTCCTCCACCAAGTCTGCCCTAAGACTGGGATGTTTAAAATTGAAGATTTTGACTGTTGAAACCACTGCCGTCGCTCTGGTGACATTGTCCACGGTGCTCTGAAGCTTCTCTGTGTCGACTTCACACAGGCTTCTGTCTGCTGACTCTATCTTAAACACTGCGCAGTCTGCCAGCAGGAATTATGACTGCACTGTATGTGTGCACTGCTAAATTATAACCACAAGCCCACACATCTCCAGAATCCCTGACTGTCACACTCGGGGTGATTCACGGCTGAGCCCCTGTCCTCCCCATCAGTATTCTCATGCCATTTGTCCATTTCCCTTATCTGGCTGACAAATGGAAGCACACAGAACCCTCCTCTGGTAGAGAGAGAGAGAACCAACTCCACAGAGTTGTCCTTTGCCATCCATATGTACTTTGTGGCATGTACATGCCCCCACATACATACATACACAGTAGTATTAAATATAATTTCAAATGAAGATGATGCCAGATATGGTGAAATGGCCTTTAATCTCAGCACTTGGAAGGCAGGGACAGACTGATCTCTGTGAGCTTAAGGCCAGCCTGGTCTACAGGGAGAACCCGTCTCAAAAAAACAATAGATAGCCAGGCAGTGGTGGCACACACCTTTAATCTCAGCACTCAGGAGACAGAGGCAGGCTGATCTCTGTGAGTTTGAGGCCAGCCTGGTCTACAAGAGCTAGTTCCAGGGGTTGGAGAGATGGCTCAATGGTTAAGAACACTGGCTGCTCTTCCAGAGGTCCTGAGTTTAATTCCCAGCAACCACATGGTGGCTCACAGCCATCTGTAATGAGATCTGGCACCCTCCTCTGGCATGTGGGCATACATGGAGGTAGAATATTGTATACATAATAAATAAATCTTTAATTTAAAAAAAAAAAGCCAGTTCCAGGACAGCCAGGGCTACTACACAGAGAAACCTTGTCTCGAAAAAAAAAGAAAAAAGAAAGAAAAGAAAAATTACGAAGTGGTGGTGGCACACGCCTTTAATCCCAACACTTGGCAGAAGCTGGTGGATCTCTTGAGTTCAAGGCCAGCCTGATCTACGGAGTGGAGTTCCACCCTAGACAGCCAGGACTACACAGAAAAACTGTGTCTCAAAAAACAAAGCAAAAAAGATTGACATTTTTGTAATTCCTAAGTATACAGTTTACTGGCACTATGTCCATTAACTATTGTGTAGCTATCCATAAACGCAAGCTCTGGAATTTTTCTTATCCCTGCATTGAAAGTCTGTACTATTTAATGCTACTTTTCCCTTCTTGACCCCAACCCCAGGTAACATGTCTGCTTTCTCTTTGTATGTCTGCTCTAATGTGCCTTTCACAGCTGGAGCCACAGTGTTTGCCCTTTCGTGATTGGTTTACTTCACTTTCCCTGTGCCCAGGCTCATCCATGTGTCAGAGTCCCCCTTTCGAAGGCCAAGTCTTATGGACATTGGTTCTCTTATTTCTTGTCATTCAGTTGCATCCACCCTTTTGTTGCTGTAAAAGGTGCCGCTGTGAACATGGGTGCCCAGATCCCTGTCCGAATCCCATTTTTATTTGGTTGGGTTTTGCAGTTTTATTTATATGGGTACTTATTTATTCAGCAGGGTTCGGTGTTTATCCCAGGGCCTCGTGCATTTGAGGCAAACCCTCCAGTGCTGAGCTGCATCACAAGTGTCTGGTTCTGTCTTTTGGACACGCACCTACAAATGGGCTTGCAATTTTGGCTTTGATTTTTTTGCTTGCTGTATCAGGCTGCTGCAAGTGGGCCCTGTCCTGTCTAGATGATGCCTCCAAGAGCATCCAGTGCTGTACACTCACTCTCCAGCCAGAGGCCTGGCCCAGGAGGGTAACACACCCACCAAGGGATGATGTAGCCAGGGTGATCAGTTGTCCACAAATAGCCAGAGTGAGCGCAGGCCTTGAATGGATCCTAGCACTGCAAAATCAACAGCCCTACCCACCCTTTTAAAATAACTGCCTAAATGTTTCCTGTAATGTTTCTTGATGACGGGCTCTTGAAAAGTTCTTTCACAGAAGCTGACCCTTGGTAGACTTGCTGTTTGGGCATGGTTCTGGTAACACTGCTGGAAGGCTCTCTGGACTGGGAAAACGTTACTTTCTATTAGCTGTCTGACAGCTGGGTCTATCTCTTCATGAAATCTTGGAGGTTGTATAGATACAGTTCACTGGTTTACTTTACATGACCTTTTCTAGGTCTGCAAGTCTGCAAGCTAAAGGGAAATGTATTAATGTTTAAAAATACGTGCTTAAAAAATTAATAAAATTGGCAGCTGGGCGGTGGTAGCACACGCCTTTAATCCCAGCACTCGGGAGGCAGAGGCAGGCGGATCTCTGTGAGTTCAAGACCAGCCTGGTCTACAGAGCTAGTTCCAGGACAGGCTCCAAAGCCACAGAGAAACCCTGTCTCGAAAAACCAAAAAAAGGGGCTGGAGAGATGGCTCAGTGGTTAAGAGCATTGCCTGCTCTTCCAAAGGTCCTGAATTCAATTCCCGGCAACCACATGGTGGCTCACAACCATCTGGAATGAGGTCTGGTGCCCTCTTCTGGCCTGCAGACATACACGCAGACAGAATATTGTATATATAATTAATAAAAAAATAAATAAATAGTTTTTTAAAAAAAGAAAAACAAAAAAAAAAGAGCTAGGACAGGCTCCAAAGCTACAGAGACACCTTGTCTCGAAAAAAAATTAATAAAATTATTAATCTCAGCACTCAGAAGGCAGGAGCAAGCGAATCTCTGTGAGTTCAAAGCCAACCTGGTCTACAGAGTGAGTTCTGGGACAGCCAGGGACACACAGAGAAACCCTGTCTCAAATAAACAAAAACAAAAAAAAGTTTGCCAACAAGTAGGAAGCAAAAAAGGTGCCAAACTTTACTTGTGTGCTGTGGCCGTAAAAGGGCAGATAGTGTAACTACATAGTAAAATAGCCAAGCATCGCTGAGGGAAAGCGGGACAAGGGGTTAATCTGCAAACTAATTAATGAGACCTTCCCCAAGTACAAGCAACTAACAGGCAAAACTGAGAGCCGCTAACACTGAAAAACAGGAGCCAATATGAATAAATGCTTCTCAGGGTTGGCTTAGTGTACCTCCTTCCTTTTTGTTGGTGTGTGTGTGTGTGTGTGTGTGTGTGTGTGATGTGTACAAGAGCTCAGAGGACAACCTGTCTTTGTCTTTCACTCTGTTTCAGACAGAATCTCTCTTCCACTGCACACAGCAGACTGGTTTCTGGAGCTTTTTCTGTTTCCTCTCCCCAGTCTCTCTGTATGAGTACGACAGATGCTCTCACCCAACTTTATTTGGGTTCTGGGAAATTCGAACTGAGGTCCTCATACTTGTGTGGCAACCACTTTTACCTACTGAGCCATCTTCCCAGCCCTGATTTTGTCTTTTAAGACAGGTTCTCACTATGTCTCCCAAACCACCCTCGAACTCATGATCCTTCTACCTCAGTCTCCTGAGTGCTGGGACATTTCTTGGGCTTTAAACAATCCATCTCTCACTCCGAAATGCCTCATCCATTTTGATCCTTGGCAGGAGTTGGCAGGAGATGAGTACCTGCTGTGTTAGATTTATTCTGTCCCCTGTGTTTCAGACAGTATAACAAACTGCGGAACCTCCTGAAGGATGCTCGCCATGACTGCGTTCTCTTTGCTAACGAGTTCCAGCAGCACTGTTACCTGCCCCGGGAAAAGGGGGAGGCCATGGAGAAGTGGCAGACCAGGTGCGCATCAGGTCACAACCCCCTTCGTTGGAACCCATTCTATCTCCTCGTCTGTGGCTCTTCAGGCCTGCTCTGTACTACGCCAGAGCACAGCAGCAGCTGTTCTAGGACCGTGGCTAGTGCTGGGGTGTTGGTGTTTCAGATGGGTCATTTGAATACGTAACGGTTAAGTTGTTAAAATCGGGATTGAGGAGATGAAGGTACCCAGCCTGAAATGGCCTAGACTCAAGGGCTGGAGTGTCCTACTAGTGGTGTAGAAGGCTTAACCTTGATGTCTTAAGATAAAAAGATGACTTGCTCAATTTAACGTCCTGGGCCAGTCTCACTAAATGGAAATTGTCCCAGAAAATGCAGTGACTTAGTTTAGGTCTGCCCAGAACTTCAGAGTGAAGCAAGCACTTGGGTGTGGGGTGTTTGCAAATAGTGGTTCCCCACAGCAGGAGCGAGTGATGGCGGGAAGATGGGGGCTGTGAAGCTGATGTGGGAAAAGGAGGCTAAGTCAGTCCTGCTGGGACCTTGGAGAGACCCTGAAGAGTACCTCGCAAAGTGGCCCACATGCAAGAGCCCAGGCACCTTAGGTAATTGCCCCCTAGGTGCTAACTCCAAGGTTCCTTGGGGTGGAGTGTACCTGCCTACAGCCCTCAGAGAGGGATGCACACACCTGCAGAAAAGGACCTTCCACGACTGGGCACTTCCCTGGGAACACACTACAGTCCTGAACCTAGTTCTCCAGGCCCAGACTCCAGCTCTTGGGGGAAGATTCCAGGTATATCATGTGGTTTTCTTTCAGGTCTTACTAGCTTACCAGCTTTAGCTGCTTGCAGCTGGTTTTTCTCTTAGCTGGAGACTGTTGCTCATCTCTCATAGAGTTGCTGGTCATTTCGCATGTGCCCCATAGCTCAGCCTCCAATTAGAACGTGTTACAAAGTGACAGTCTGGGCTTTCTAAACAAAAGCAGGAACTGAAAATAGTTGCTATGGGGCTGAACATCTAGGAAGAAGAGATGGGAGGTGCTTTCTGATTCCTTGATAACAGAGGGCCGGGCCCACCCCCAGTTATCTAGATACCCAGGAAGTATTTGTTGTGTGAAGAAAGAACAAAAGAATTATTAGATGGATGGATGGATGGACGGATGGACGGACTGGTGGACGGATGGATGATTAGCTATATAGACACAGGGTGGCAGATAGGAACCAAGTATGACATTCTGAACAGCAGCTGTGTTTATGCTTCGGATGTTCACCATCCTTTGCTGTCCCAGGAGCATATACAACTCAGCTGTTTGGTACTATCACCACTGCGGGGACAGGATGCCCATCGTTATGGTGACAGAAGATGAAGAGGCCATTCAGCAGTATGGAAGTGAGACAGAAGGCGTGTTTGTAATTTCTTTCAAGGTATTTCCAGTGGCGCATGCGCAACACGTTGTTCACTTAGTTTGGGTTTTTTGTTTGCTTATTTGGTTTGGTTTTGGGTTTTGTTTTTTTTTTGTTTTTGTTGTTGTTTTTTGAGACAAGGTTTGATTGTGTAGCCCCAACTATCCTAGAACTCACTCTGTAAACCAGGCTGGCCTCGAATTCAAGAAATCCACCTGCCTCTGCCTCCTGAGTGCTGAGGTTAAAGGTGTGTGCCACCACTGCCTAGCTACTCATTCAGTTCTTAACAGTGCCTGTAAGGCTGCAGCCTAGATTCTTGGGCAACACAGATAAGAGAAAGTAGACTTCATAGTAATTCCAGTACCGGGGTAGGTTGCCAATTCTGAGGCAGGAGCTCACCGAAAGTCTGAGTCCAGGCTGGGCTGCAGAGTGAGAGCCCGTCTCATAAAAAACGGAAAGGGAAATAGAAGGAAGACTTCCTCAAGCACCAGGCATGCATGTGGTACATATGCATACAGATAAGTAAAACACTCATGCCCATAAAATAAATAAATCTTTAAAAAGAGAGAGAGAGAGAGAGAGAGAGAGAGAGAGAGAGAGAGAGAGAGAGAGAGAGAGAGAGAGAGAGAGAGATGACTCATAGCATTATTGGTAATCAGGTGGCCTTGACTTTTGCAAATTCTACCAGCTGAGCCACATCCCTAGCCCCTTAAAGCCAGTCTTGTATGTCAGCGACCCCTCACTTTTCCCCACTGGAATTATGCATGAAGAAGAGCAGGGGCACTCGGAGCCGAGCTGCGGCATTACTTATGTGCGGGCTCTCGGGTCACAGTCGTCGTTTTATCAGTGCCAGTTGCTTCGGGCTGTCATAGCAACACCTTCTTCCTGTCTCTTAAGCACCTTCTAGGAGATTGGCCGGCGGTTAATCTCTCCATAGATGGCAGGTCTCTCCTGTCTGTCCGGTTGGCCAATCAAATCTACTGGCTGATTGCATTTTCTGATGCAAAAACCAAGATGCAGCCTCCATTATCCCTGTCAGCTTAGAGAACGTCCAGTTCCAATTTTAAATTGTAGATTCCATAAGGGTTCCCATGTGCATGTATTGCTAAAGATTTGCCAATAGAATTTTCTTGACTGCGCTATAAAAATGTGTTCTGGAGTGCCAGAGAATTCCAGGGGCGCTAGATATTAATGGCAGTGTCACTTGCTTTTTCTGTGGTAATACATCATGTCTTGTTCCTGCAGAGGACAGTTGACTAAAATTACATTTTTCTACTTTTTTGAGAATTACTTTTCTTTGTAGTCCAGTAGTACAGGATAGTTTTATTTTGTAGAGCAGTTCTTGAGCAAACTGTGAGCAAGGGCCCGTAGAGGTGAGTGATAGCAGAGAAAGAGAGAAGAGGGTCAGCTTCAGGCGAGAGGAGAACAGGATTCTCTCTGGGGACTTGACGTTGGATGCGAAGAACCAAGGTGATCAATTCTTCGTGAAGAGGTTGTTTCCTGACAAAATGGGGTGTTAGGTGGCACACGGGCACAGGGTTGCCGTGCTGACGCTGGTGTGAACAGAACTTTTAAGAGGAAGAAGGGAGACCTGCCCGCCCAGCCTTCTCGCCATGTCTTCTCACAAGACTTTCAGAATCAAGCGATTCCTGGCTAAGAAACAAAGGCAAAATCGTCCTATTCCTCAGTGGATTCGGATGAAAACTGGCAACAAAATCAGGTACAACTCCAAGAGAAGACACTGGAGGAGAACGAAGCTGAGTCTGTAAGGAGTCAACAATGAATGGCAAAACAATTAATGATGAATCGTGATCCTTGATGAGTGTTACAAGATGAAGTTCAACATTTTCAATCTGGAGACTTAATCATGTTTAAGTTGGGAGTGGTTTCTCCAGTAATAAAATGTAGAACCTTTTGGAAAAAAAAAAAAAAAAGAGGAAGAAGGGAAGAAAGGAAGCTGTCCGAACAGGATTGAAATTAATAGGAGGAGTGCTGGCTTCCACAGAAAGATGTTTTCTTTCCTTTATAATTGGAGAAAAGAGAATGTATCTTAGCCTTAAATTAAGTTGAAATCACATGTAAGAAGATAAGAATACATAATAGAAGATTTTCCTATCTGTTCTTTATAGACCATCATGTTCAGAAGTGAGATACATAGAGAAAAAAATTGATGTGTGTTTGTATGTTGTGTGTTCAGTGTATGTCAGGTGCATACATGGAGACCAGAGGAGGACACTGAATGTCTTGCTCCTACCTTATTCCCTGGGGATAATTTCTCTACTGACCCTGAAGCTAGGCCTTGGCCAGCAAGCCTCAGCAATCCTCCTGTCTCAGAGTCCTCACGCCCTCAGCACAGGGTTACAGTGGGAATTTTCATGTGGGAGCTGGGATTTGAAGTCAGGTCTTCAGGCAGATGTTCTTATCTTCTTAGCCCACTTGGTCCTGTAGTAGTGCTGGAATGAAGACTCAGCATCTGGCCATGTTTCTCTGTGCCTTTACCAAATACAGAATTACTTGGACAACTTCTGGCCGGATTTAAAGGCTGCCCATGAGCTCTGCGACTCCATCCTGCAGTCTCGCCGGGAAAGGGAGAGCGAAAGTCAGGAAACCCATGGGAAGGAGTACCCAGAACACCTTCCCCTGGAAGTGCTGGAGGCAGGCATCAAATCCGGACGCTACATCCAGGTGAGGGTGGCAGTGAAGGGCAGGTGTCAGTACAACCAGCATTTTTTTTTTCTCTTCTTAGCTTGCCTTCCACTCCAGGGCTCTGAGTTCAATGCCTGTCGCAAGATGGGCTTGAGTAAGCAGAGCTGCCCAGTTCATTTTTTCCCTAGTCCTTAACTGTCTAGTTCTAAGCTGCCCAAGTGTCACACAGGGTGGGGGTAGCCTTCTGTCACTGGGAAAGAAATACAGTTTTGAATGCGGGTGTGGACGTGGCAGCAGCAACATCGCATCTGTGAGTTTGTCTTCCCTCCTTTGCCACTCTCCTGCCCCTCAAAGGAGGCCTCAGGTGCTATCGGGGCTTGGGGAAGGGTTCCTGTTATGCCATGTGGCTGTGTGTGGTCTTGTGTGTCCCCCATTGTCAAGATTTAGAGCTAAGGATTTTGTCTGTCTTTCTTTCTTTTTTTTGGGGGGGGGGGATTTTTTTTTTTTTTTTCGAGACAGGGTTTCTCTGTGGTTTTGGAGCCTGTCCTGGAACTAGCTCTTGTAGACCAGCTGGTCTCGAACTCACAGAGATCTGCCTGCCTCTGCCTCCCGAGTGCTGGGATTAAAGGCGTGCGCCACCACCGCCCGGCTCTTTCTTTCTTTTTTCCTCCAGACAGGATTTCTCTGTGTAATAGCCCTGTCTCCTGGAACTCTTTTTGTAGACCAGGCGCCTCGAACTCACAGAGATCTACCTGTCTCTGCCTTCCAAATGCTGGGATCAAAGGCATGCACCACCACTGCCTGGCACAGATTCTGCACATCTAGCAGGCTACTCAGAAGTCTGTTTGGGGCCAAAGGTTGAGTGTGCCGGGCTGAAGTCCCTGCCGTAGTGTAAGGAGCGTGTCCTGCCCTTGGTGCAGCTGCAGAGTAGTTCAAGTCAGCAGTGTATTCTCTTAAGAAAAGGCACTCTAGCGTGAAGACAGGGACCACAGTCTGCTAAGAAATATTTAGATATTTTTGTAACTTTTTGAAAACTGGGTCAAGAAAGAACTTTGTTCACACTGATTTTTGCTTACAATTCTAGGGAATTCTGAACGTCAACAAGCACAGAGCTCAGATAGAAGCTTTTGTTCGCCTACAAGGAGCCAGCAGTAAGGACTCAGGTTCGGTACCAACCACAACATTTCCATGCTGCTTTTTAAATTCTGACATTATATGGTAAAGAAAGCAAGTTGAGGTGTCGTGCAGCCTTATGTATATTGGCATTTGTGGATTTTAGGGGTTTCCCCCTTAGGTTTATTTTGTCCACAATTTGGGGGGGGGCAGTTAGTGCTAGGAATTGAACCTAGGACTTTGCTTGTGCTATTTGTCTATCATTTCTGTCTTTATTTTTTAATTCTTTTTTTAAAAAAAAAAATACACTGGGAATGATGGCATGTGCCTTTAATTCCTGCACCTGCGAGGCAGAGACAGGGTCTCAAAGAGTTTAAGGAGAGTCTGATCTACAGAAAGAGTTCCAGGACAGCCAGCACTATGGAGAAAGACCCTGTCTCAAAAACATAAAAAGATGAAGATAGTTTAATGATCCTGTAGTGCTGTGCCTATCCCCAGATGCAGGTGACACTGCACGGCCGTCACCGCAGACGCTGCAGACCCTGTGTTTTCACACGGTTGTCACCCGCTATAGCTACGATCTTGCTGTGCTGTGGATTTTAAATTATTCCTCCTAGGCAGCCACAGCCCTGACTTCTGGTTTGTTGCGGTATGCTTAAGCTGCCATTCAGGGGAAGGAAGCAGCCTCTCTGAGGTCCCACTGCTAACCTGTGGGGCTCAGCCTGCAGCCCAGGCTGTGTTGTGAGAACTCCTCTGCACTGCCCCTGTGTGCTCTCCTGTGGTCACGTTTCAGGCAGATTGGGGGAAACAAAGCATGAAAGGAAGAAGAAACCTTGACGGTGAAAATGGGAGGCTGAGTGACAGCGGCTCCCAGGGCCTTTGTTCCTCAGCCCCTCTTCAGGTCTGCATCCCATGTGTGCACTTTATATGCACACTGACCACTCTCTTGTCTACACAGTACCGTGAAAGAATTGAGCATAAATCCAGTGTAAGCTCAGTTACATGCAGGAGAGTAATACCTACTTTGAAAGGTGATGGGATAGAGAAGGATTCAAAACAAAATAGCAGAAGAAGGGTGAAGAGTGATCGTTATACATTATGTACCTGAGTGAGACTGTCAACAAATTTAAAAACTTTTCAAAGAAACTGATGAAGGGGGGCTTGCATAAACACATCATCCAGTGTGCCACGGGAGTAGTCTTAGTTTACCCCGAACCTTCAGAACACAAGAAGTTTAAGCCAAACATGGTGCCACCTATAACCCCAGAGCTCAGTAGATTGAGACAGAAGGGTCACAAGTCTGTGGCCAACCTGGTCTACACAGAAAGAAAGAAGCTGTTTGACATTCCCTTTAGAAGGAAGAAATTTGTTTTGGAGTGTGTGTGTGTGTGTGTGTGTGTGTGCGTGCGTGCGCGCTTGTGCGCGCACTTAAGGTAACAGAACTAACTGAATAGAGATTTTATATATATATATATATATATATATATATATATATGAAGGTTTTGTTAGATTGGCTTACACACATAGTCCAGGTAATCCAACAATATCTGACTCACTCTGGAGAGCCTAAGAATCCAGTAGCTGCTCCTTCCATGAGCTGGTCATCTCAGCAGTCCTGATCTGGCACTGAAGGCCTGGAGGATTCCTGGAGAGCCAATGGTCATCTGTCTGAATTGGAAAGCTGAATAAGTTAGTTCTAACCCCAGTGAAAGATGCTGCAACAAGATAGTTGGACTTGCCATCAAGGGTGGAGGTAGCAGGCAAAAGCAAATTCATGTCCTTTTATCTGGGCTACCATCAGAAGGCACAACCACATTTAGGATGGGTCTTTCTGCTTCAAATAATCTGATCAAGAAAATCCTTCATGGGAGTATCCCACTGCTTATGTTATGGTTGATTTCAGAAGTAGTCGTGTTGAAAACCAAGCTTACAAGAGAAAGAAGTATAGGCAAAGTTTCCTGTCCCAACTGCCCAGTCCTAAATAAACACAGAGAAACTTACATTAATTACAAACGCTTGGCCAGTAGCTCAGGCTTATTACTAACTAGCTCTTACAACTTAAATTAACCCATTTTTATTAATCTACATCCTGCCATTTGACTCATGGCTTTACCTGTCCTCCAGCGTGTACTGTTCCCTCTGTGGCTGACTGATGTCTCCTCGACTCATCCCTCCTTCCTATCATTCTTAGTTTGGCTTTCTCACCTAACTTTCTGCCCAGCTACCAGCCTGTCAGCTTTTTATTAACCAATGAGAGTAATACATATTCACAGTGTATGGAAGGATTATTCCACTGCAGAGAGGTGTATGCCTGGGTATACAGGTGCACTTACCATTTTGTGCACTTATGGAGGTTGATGTTAAGTATCTTCCTGTGTCATTTCCTACTTTTGTTTGTGTGCATATATGTGTGTTTGTGTGTATGTGTATGTATGGGTGTGTAAGTGTACCTCTGGCTTTATGTGAGTACTGGTGTTCAGAATTCAGATTATTATACTTATAAGGCAGGCTGGACCATCTTCCTAGCCTCCTCCACCTGATTTTTTGAGACAGGGGATCTCACTGAAAGTGAAGTTTGCTCCTTTGGCTAGACAGACTGGCCAGTGAGCTCCCAAATTCTCCTGTCTCCAGCCCACTAAGTGCAAGGGTTGCAGACATGCACCACTACACCTGGCTTTTTACATGGTCACTGGAGATCCAAACTCAGACCCTCGTGCTTGTATGGTGAGCACTTCCCCCACTGAGCCGCCTCTCCAGCCCCAGCAGTGTCTGCTCAGGCTTGAGATGCGGTCCATCTGAAATGTCTCCTGGTGTGGCAACCGTTGGCTCACAGCTTCTCTGTGCTGCACAGACCTGCTCAGCGACATCCTCATCCATGGCACAAAGGCTCGGAACCGCTCCATCCATGGAGATGTGGTGGTGGTGGAGCTGCTCCCCAAAAATGAGTGGAAAGGAAGAACTGCTGCCCTGAGTGAGAACGACAGTGAAGACAAAGCCTCGGGCGAATCCCCAAGTGAGCCCATGCCCACAGGTGAGCCCACCCGGAAGTATAATCCTGCCTGATTTTGTTTGTTTGAAACTTGTATGTGTTCATTAGTATACTGTGATGTTTTGATATAGGTATACACTGTTGAGTGGCTAAATCCAGCTAATTAGCATACAGATTACCTCATATACCATGGTTTTAAAAGTAATCTTTTATTTATTTTTATGTGTAGGAGTGTTTTGCCTATGCATGTATGTCTGTGATTGTTTGGTGCCCACTGAGGCTAGAATAGGGTATTTGGATGCCCTGGAATTGGAATTATAAATGTTTGTGAGCCACCATGTGGGTACTGGGAATTAAACCCAGATCCTATGGAAGAACAGTTAGTACTGTTAACCACTGAGCATTCTCTCCAGCCCCTAAACATTGTCTTTTTATGTATATGATGTGCATGTGTGTTCATGCTCATGAGTGCTGGTGTGCATGCTAGGGCATGCATGTAAAAGTCAGAGAACAGCTTCTGGTATTGGTTCTGCTACTGCCTGTTGAAGAAGACTACCTGGCTTTACTTGAGTTCTGGGGATTCGAACTCAGGCCCTCATACTTGTGTGGCAGTGATTTTATTCACTGAGCCATCTCTGTAGCCACTACATCCTCCTTGTGTATGTGTGGTGAGAACAACTTACAAACTACTTTTAGTGACTTGTAAGAACGTGAAGCATGCGAGAAAATAAGACATGATCTCTACATTATCAGCGTCCCCTCTCTGCAATCTGTTTTGCTGTGGTTGTTGTTTTTAATGCTGGGGACTGAACCTAGGACCTGAGACATGCTGAACATGTGTTCCCCCACTGAGCCACCCTCAATTCCTCCACAGGTTTATTTACTAGTTTGGCTTCTTTTGTTTGTTTGTTTGTTGTTTAGTTTTTCAAGATAGGGTTTCTCTGTGTGGCCCTGCCTGTCCTAAAACTCACTCTGTATCATGCTGGCCTTGAACTCAGAGATTCCCCAGCCTCTGCCTCCCAAGTTCTGGGATTAAATGTGTGTACAGGGTCTGGCATAGCCCATGCTGGGCTCAGACTCTTTGACAGCCTTGATGCTCCTGTCTCCCCCATACCATAGCACGAGGGTTATAACTATACAGCACGGTATATGGCCCCCTGCAGGTTTATTTTAACTTGTACAGTACCCGCAGAAACAAAAAGCCCCGCTGGGCATTGTGTGATTTCCAGCCACTGCCTCAGTTGGGATGATGGGTTTTTTCCTCCACGCTCACTTGTCTTGCTTTCCGCAGGGTCTCACAGGCTTGCAGTCTGGCTCTCCTCTCCCTCTCCTCTAAATCTGCTCGTGTCTGATTCCCAGGGCCCTCCTGCCCAAATACAGGTCACTTCCTTGTGCTCATTGTCACAGCATGTGAACAGCTCGTGGGTGTGATGCTCTCTGAACTTCAGGAAACCCAAGCTCCCTCACCCTCTGCCCTTCTGGCCGCCTATCTCAGCTTCTCTGCTGTCCTTCTCTTCTTCCAGCTTTCTGGGTGTGCAGTGCTCTGCTGGGGACTTCCTGTTCCATGCACTCTCTAGGCTGTTCCGTCTTTGACCTTGTGTCTCCAGCCACTTTCTTTACCTCTGGTTGCCTTTATGGCATCTTCCCCTGAATGTCCAATGGGCATCTCAGCCTAAAGATGCCTCCTAAGCCTCCTGACTTCTGCCCCAAGCCTGCTTCCCCTGCAGCGGTCCTCATCCACTTAGCTGAAAGCTCGTTCTGAGAGTTGGACCATCCAAAAGACTGGAACTGCCCTAGACTTATTTTTTCACACATCCACAGATCCTGTCGGCTCTAACTGTGACACATGGCCTGAATCCAGAGACTTCCCAGGCTTGCCCCACACCTCTGTAGGGTCAGGCCTCACTCAGGTGCCCTGTGGCAAGATCATCACCTCACCCCCTCTGTCCTCCCCGCAGCACTTTCAAAAGGGAGTTACCTGGCACATGGCTCATTTAGCAAGGTGCATGCAGTGAGGAGGACCTGAGTCTGTTCCTGAAACTCACGTTTGTAAAATAATCAGAGTACTGGGGAGGTGGAGACAAGAGGACTTCTGGGACTTCTTGGCCAGTCAGCTTGGCCAATGAGAGACTTCATCTCAAAAGTCCAGGTCATTAGTTCCCAAAGAATGGCATCTGAACACAAACACATAAACACACACACATACAAGGGAAAATTGTACTTGTAGCTACTGTGGTTATGTTTCCCTGGCTTCAGTGCTATGTAGTAGATTTAGGATGTGTATCCTTTGCTGTGTCCACTAGACCAAGTGAGTGCAGGTGTTGAGAGAACACAGGCGACCATGGAAGCACAAAACAGGGGCAAGGGTTAAAGACAAGTGTTTCCAGTCATGGTGGCACACATCTTTAACCCCAGCACTGGGAGGCAGAGGCAGGTGGATCTCTGTGAGTTTAAGGTCAGCCTGGTCTACATAGTGAGTTCCAGGACAGCCAGGGCTACATAGAGAGAACTACTACACCCAGCTGACAATTTTTTTTTTTTTTGGTTTTTCGAGACAGGGTTTCTCTGTGGTTTTGGAGCCTGTCCTGGAACTAGCTCTTGTAGACCAGGCTGGTCTCGAACTCGCAGAGATCCGCCTGCCTCTGCCTCCCGAGTGCTGGGATTAAAGGCATGCACCACCACTGCCCGGCCCAGCTGACAATTTTTTAAGAGCTGTTTTTTTTTTTAAAAATGTATGTTCTGAGCAGTGGTTGTGCACGCCTTTAATTCAAGCACTCAGGAGGCAGAGGCAGGTGGATCTCTGTGAGTTCAAAGCCAGGCTGATCTAGTTCCAGGACATCTAGGCCTGTTACACAGAGAAACCCTATCTCAGGGGTGAAAAAAAATTCACATTCAAAGTGCTAAGAAGACAGGTCTCCAAACTCATCTGGGCCGCGTGAATGAGCTTGAGATCAGGAGCAGCGCATTTCTTGTTCACTTCTGTGCTGCTGCGCTCACAGCCCAGAGAGGAGGTAACCAACCAGTCCGTGCTTTGCTGTTTTGTCTCCCTGAAGGTCGAGTGGTGGGCATCCTTCAAAAGAACTGGAGAGATTATGTGGTGACATTTCCATCCAAAGAAGAGGTCCAGTCTCAGGGCAAAAATGCTCAGAAGATCCTAGTCACACCCTGGGATTACAGAATCCCCAAAATCCGCATTAGCACCCAGCAGGCCGAGGCCCTCCAGGTAGGTGCAGCTGCACTTCTCTTCTGCCTCTGTCTTCGCTGGCTTTTGAGCAGCTCCGGGAAGCATTGTAACTCCTTTGAATAAGAGGAAATAAATTATTGATGGTATCTGGCACTCTTAAGATACTGTTTTTAAACATTCTAAATATATAAGAACCATCCGTTAAGTAGTCCATGGTTAATAAATGAAGGCCAGAGAGAAGTTGTCCTAGAAAGAGCTGTGTAGGACACGCTGAGAGAACATACATTATCCTGCTGTCCAACCCCGAAACTTTCGATACATGCAGTCTGCCAACACTAACAAGCTTCCTTCCAGGGAAAGATCCAGATATATGATCCGAGTGTCCTGCAGGGATGATATAGTATGACTTCAGAGATCGATTATCCATACAGGACTGGAGTGCCAGAGAGCGGGCAGATACTAACTTTTACTTGGGGCAGAGAGCAGAGGCAATTCCTGACTTCACTGCCTAGTATTTGGCAGTTTGTAAATGAGACTAAAGTAGAATGTCCCCAGCCCTTTCCTGGTCATTGTGCCTTTGCCTCTGGAAGCTTTCTGCAGACTCTCAGCCCAGGTACGATGATGGCACTTTGCATTCTAGGGTGTCTGGAGTCTGGGCAGTAGAGAGGTCCAGCTTACACTGGTACCATCTTTCCTGCCAAGGAGCATCTTAAGACTAAAAAGAAATTAGAGAGTAATTCCCACACTAGAAAGTGAGACTGTTGTTTTATTTATTTTTTTAAGATTTATTTTATTTTTATTTACATGTGTGTAGGTGTGCCCACAACAAGCCAGAAAGTGGGTGTCAGGTCTCCTGGCACTGGAGTTATAGGGATTGTGAGCTGCCTAATGTGAGTGCTGGAAACCAAACCCAGGTCCTCTGGCAGAAGTGCTCATAATCACTGAGCCATCTCCCCAGTTCCCAAGACTATTGTCTTAAAACTTAATTAGAACCCTACATTATTGGGTTGTACCCCTTGTGTTTCAAGTGTTAACTAAAATGTATTAGTTAACTGAAATGTCCCAGTTGTCTGAAGGAGAGAGGTAATGTCTCCCTTCAAAGCATTGGCCAAGCATTTGTATACCATCTGGCCATTCGGAAGAGTGGCAAGAAAAAACAGAAAGCAAAAATAAGCTACTGCAAGCCACTGTTCCCAAATTAGCCTGCCTTTGGTACTCTGTTTATCTGGTTAGTTTTGTTGCTTCACATTGACCCACTTAACTCTAGCTTTGGTTCGCATTGTATCTTTTTTCCCTTTGTATAGGACTTCAGGGTGGTTGTGAGAATTGACTCCTGGGAGACAACATCAGTGTATCCAAATGGACACTTCGTGCGTGTTTTAGGGCGAATCGGTGATCTGGAAGGGGAGATTGCAACCATCCTGGTAGAAAACAGTATTTCTGTTGTTCCCTTCTCAGAAGCCCAGGTCAGATTTCTCTTAGATCTTTGGTCCAGAGACATACGTTTCTTTCAGCTTTTGTTGCTGTTTTATCATGAAGAAAGAAAAACCTTTTGTGTTTGTGTGTGTAAATTTAATTGTGTGTGCAATATGGAGGCCAAAGGTCAACGTCTAGCATCTTCATTAACCATGCGCCCCTTATTTTATTTTTATTTATGTATGCATGTGTCTGTGTGTATCCATATGTGTAGCCCAAACAGGATATTGGATCCCTTGGAACTGGCTGTTGTAAGCTGACATGGGTGCTGGGAATCAAACTTGGGTCCTCTGGAAAAGCAGCAAATGCTCTTAACTGCTGAACTATCTTTCCAGCCCTTCCAACTCATTGTTTGAGACAGAATCTCTCACTGAATATGGAACTCACTAAATCAGTGAGGCTGGGAGCCATGAAGCTCCAGAGAGCTTCCTGGCTCCACCTCCTCAGCATAGGGATGATTACAGGTGTGCTTCATCCACACCCAGAGCTGGGAATCCAAAATTGGGGTCTCGTGTTTGTGTGGTAAGCCTTCACTCACTAAGTCATCTCCCCATCCCTGAAAAACAACTTTATACTATATGACAACCAACTGTCTAAAGCCACAGATAATTAGGAACAAAATCTCACTCATCCCAATTCTATACCTGGGCCAAACTTAAAGTCAGCTCCAAGTATAGACTAAATTTCCTACAGCCCCACTGCGCTCAGAATTTTATATTTTTCAGCTGTGCTTTTTTTTTTTTTTTTTTTTTTCTTCGAGACAGGGTTTCTCTGAGGCTTTGGAGCCTGTCCTGGAACTAGCTCTGTAGACCAGGCTGGTCTCGAACTCACAGAGATCCACCTGCCTCTGCCTCCCAAGTACTGGGATTAAAGGCATGCGCCACCATTGCCCGGCTCACCTGTGCTTAAAATGATATGTCAGGGGCTGGGGAGATGGCTCAGTGGTTAAGAGCATTGCCTGCTCTTCCAAAGGTCCTGAGTTCAATTCCCAGCAACCACATGGTGGCTCACAACCATCTGTAATGGGGTCTGGTGCCCTCTTCTGGCCTGCAGACATATACACAAACAGAATTTTATATACATAATAAGTAAATAAATAAATTTAAAAAAATGATATGTCAGGGTCTTGTAGTCAATGTCCATTTCCAAACTTATGCACCACTATCACCCCCCCCTTCTCCTCTTCTTCCTTCTCATCCTCTTTTCCTGCTCCTTCTCTTCTTCTACCTCATTTTTTTTTTATTTTTTTTGAGACAAAGTCATGCTATGTAGCCATAGCTGGACTGGAATTCCCAGAGATGTACCCGCCTCTGCCTACAGAGTGCTGGGTTTAAAGGCATGCACCACCACACCCACTCTATGTAGCTTCTTTACAGACCCAGCTGAGCTCTGCCTGCGAGTGTTACAGCTCTGAAGGACAAGGTATCCTGACTGGTCGGGAAGTCAGGCTTTACCTAAAGCTGGGGTGCAGTGTGAGATGGTCTCCCTGCAGGACGGAGCAATCCTGCTCCTCTCTTAGAGAAAGTCATCACAGCTGACCTCTGCTCGGTTCCCCTGAGGGAACGGCCTAGCAGAGCTACCTGTTTCCTCTTCTGCTCTACTCAGCTCCCGCCCAAGATGTTACTTCTTCTGCTTCACTCTGCTAAAGGGGAAAAGCTCTGGCAACACTTTTTCTGCTCCATTCCCAAGGGAGTTTCCCAGCAAATGTAACTGTTTAGAAGAAACAGTTTTTTGTTTTGTTTTGTTTTTCTGTTCATTCCCCTTAAGGGAACATCTCAGCAAAGGTTCTGCTCTGTGCCAGCAAAAGATCTTCACTCAAAATTCTTTTAAGAAAGAGATTTCTTTAGGAAAGAGGAGTCCAGAAGAGTGGCTGCTTCTGCCAGAGTGGGCTAGGACAGCTAGCCACTGAACATGCAGAGGGGCTTATATAGGGCTTCTTAGTGGCAGTTTTCCCAGGGAGATTTTCTGCTCAGGGGTTGGTTGGTTTCATTGGTCAGTTGGTCAGGGGCAGAGTCGGCTCTGGTTTCAGGGCCAAATTGTGTTTCTTTTGCGGGTCCTTTTTAGCCTTTTGGCTCTAGTTTTAGGGCCTGGGAGTGTTTCTTTCACTGGCTCTGGTTCTACAGCTAAAGTATTTCTTTGGCTCTAGTTTCAGGGTCAGGGTGTGTTCTTAGGTTCTGGGTTCAGGGCTAAAGTGTTTCTTTCACTAGCTCAGGTCTCAGGGCCAGGGTGAATTTCTTTCACCAGCTCTGGTTTAGGGCCAGTGTGAGTTTCTTAGGTTAGCCCTTTTTCTTTACACTGGACCCACCAGAGCTGGATGGATCAAAAAATCAGGCTCATTATGAAATGTTTTTTGAAACCTTTACAGAAAACAAAAGTCCAATGAACATAAAATACCAGTGATTTCATCACTTTCTGGTCTTTCACAGTCTCAGAAATCTCCCTTATTCTCTTGTGGCCATATCCATTGTGCACACTTATATTCTATTCTGCCTTCTTCACTTAAAATTGTTTCTATATATTGACATAGCCTACTTATTTTTAGTAGTTAAGACAATTACCAAAATTAATTTACCCTACTTTGCTTAAACATTCCTCAATTGTTGGACATTGGTAGTGTTTAATTTTTCAGTATTAGGGGAAAATGTTACTTGAAACATTTTTTTTAAATCAGTGTTGCCTTTTTTACTCTTTTTTTTATCATCCCCATGGAATATAATCCTTAAAGTTAAATTACCAAGTCAAAGGGCATAAAAAATTTAAATAGGTTTATTATATATTGGCAGATAGTTTTCCAGAAAAACATTGCCCCGGTGTAAATTACCATCCACAGTGGATGGGTGTGCTTGTTTACATTATAGCTTCTGACATAACAGGGGCTACAATAAGAAAATATTTTAACTATTTTACATTATTAAATTTAGACTATGATTAAATTTTTATGTTTAACATTAGTTTCTGGAAGTTATTTGTTGACTTGCTTGGCACCTCTTAGTGAAATGTTGGAATAAAATTAAGTTTGAATTAGATTTCACAGGACTAGAATTCTCTCTCCTGTAGCCTACTTAGCTACAAATTGATGACTTAAACAGGTGATCATAGAGGGAAAATGCCCCAGATTAGTCTTGTTTAAATTATCTTTAAGGAATAAGCTTTTATTTCAGGGAGGGGGGCGTGGAGATTTTTGTCTCTTCAGGGTCTGACTGAAGAGCTCAGCTCTGTGCAGACCCAGGCTGCTGTGGAAGCAGGATGCACTGTCACATCTGTGCAGACCCAGGCTGCTGTGGAAGCAGGATGCACTGTCATATCTGTGCAGACCCAGGCTGCTGTGGAAGCAGGATGCATTGTCACATCCTGTCACCTATTCGCTGGCCCAGGGACAGCTCCCAGCAGGCCGCGAGTCCTCCAGTGCCCGACGCTTGGGAGGCACCTGATGAACAGTTATAATCAAAAGAAGACAAATAAGACAGGGAAGATGCCCAGTCAGTAAAGTGCTTCCTATGCAGTCATGAGGATCTGAGTTCCAACCCAGACCCACATAAAAACTGGGCCTGGTGACATATGCTTGTAAGAGACCCTTAGGGTTTGATGACCAGCCAGTCCGGCATAATGGGAGCATTCCAGGTTTGTGAATAATCACTCTATCTCAAGAAACAAGGTAGACAGAATCTTCATGAATGTCTGGTGCCCAAAGAAGTCAGAGAGGACATTGGAACCCCAGGGATTGGGTTTATAGACAGTTGTGAGCTGTCACATGGGTGCTGAGTATTGAGCCTGGGTCCTCTGGAGGAGCAGCCAGTGCTCTTAACCACTGAGCCCTCCAAGAGAGTGGGGATTTTTTTATTTATTTATTATGTATTAGTGTTCTGGGCACCAGATCTCATTATAGATGGATGTGAGCCACCATGTGGTTGCTGGGAATTGAACTCAGGACCTCTGGAACAGTAGTCAATTCTCTTAACCTCTGAGCCATCTCTCCAGCCCAAGGGAGTGGGTTTTTAGAGAACCTCATAATGCATGGATTTCTGAATGCTTGGTCTCTGGTGCAGATGTGTGAGATGCCAGTGAACACACCAGAAAACCCTTGGAAGGTGAGCCCCAAAGAAGAAAGAGAGCGGAAGGACCTGAGGAACAGCCACCTTGTGTTCAGTATCGACCCCAAGGGTTGTGAAGATGTGGATGACACACTCTCGGTCAGAACCTTAGCCAATGGCAACCTGGAGCTCGGGGTCCATATCGCCGACGTCACACACTTTGTGACCCCCAACTCTTATATTGATGTCGAAGCTAGAACGAGGTAACTTGTTGGAAGCCAGCAGTGTGCTGTGTGTTTGTCTCTGTGCGAGTTTCAGATGGCCAAGACCTCCTGTTTGGACGGACAGTAGTGAAAATCTCTTCTGGACTTTCCTGAAGTACCGCCCTTCAGGAAAATAGTACCTTGATCAGTTTGTGTCCTTTCTTGACCTTTTTACCTATCACTTCCTCTTAACTTAAAATGAGCACATTTTCACACGTCATACGGTCTGTACAGTCGCTAGGTCATTATGCTCATTTTCTCATACAACCAAGATTCATGTCACTTTTACTTTCTACATCACTGGAAGAATACTCAGCCAAAGCAATGTGACTTGGTCAAGTGGGCACACGGGAACTATTTAATTAGGCAGGCGCTGTGCTTTCTGAGGAGCAGTAGCCCCAGGGGAATCCAGCCCCGATCTTGGCTGTTTACCTCCTGCAGCCCACAGTCTCAGCAGTGCTGCAGCTGCTGAAGGTCAGTTACCCGCACTGTCATTCCAGGGCCACCACTTACTACCTAGCAGACCGCCGCTACGACATGCTGCCCTCCATCCTCAGCGCGGATCTCTGTTCCCTCCTGGGAGGCGTTGACAGGTGAGTCTGATCGTCACCTTCAGAGCTGTTTCTTCTTGGCCTTCCAGTGTGCTCTCCTTAGCACTCCACACCTACCCGCTGCTCCTGCCCCCTCTCTGGGCTGCCTGCCTCCCGCTTCCCTTCCACATATGGCTTCCGGGAGCTTTATTTTTCCAGCCTCCTCCTTTCTTTCTGCTCTCCTGATGCTAGTTTTCTGAAGCAGACCACCGGCTGAGGAGAATGCGGAGCACTCTCTAGTAGATGCTGCTCTTCAGAAGGCACCTGAGCTTAGGGAGTTTGCGTTTATCAGTGAATGCATAGTTAGATAGTTTAGAAGTAGTTTAAAGTTCCAAAGGATGGAATAAAGGGCCCTTCCTATTATTTTTCTTAGGTATTGATCGCTTATATATTTTTCTATATTTAATGCATACAAATATAGATGTGTGATTTTTATTTTTAAGATTTATTTATTTATTATATATACAGTGTTCTGCCTGCATGTATGCCTGCATGCTAGAAAAGGCACCAGCTCATATTATAGACAATTGTGAGCCACCATGTGGTTGCTGGGAATTAAACTCAGGTCCTCTAGAAGAGTAGCCAGTGCTCTTAACCTCTGAGCCATCTCTCCAGCCCCCATAATTTTTATTTTTTATAAAAATACTAGCATACCTTCAATATAAAGAGTAGACTCTCATTCTAAACTGCTTCTGTTTCTAACATATATATATTTCTAACAAGTATTTGTATATATATGTGTGTGTATGTAGAAGAGAACATGTGTGTGTGGTATTTATATATAATTTATACACACCTGCTATTCAGCATGTAAAATTTTATTCCACCTCCCCTTTTTTTGAGAGAGAGTATCAGGCAGGCATCTTGTTCTTAAACTGATCGGGAAGCCAAGGATGACCTTCTGATCCTCCTGCCTCCACCTGTATACCAACATGCCTGGTTTGTGCAGCCCTGGGGATCCAGCCCAGAACTTTGTGCAAGCTAAGCAAAGCACTCTAGCAACTGAGCTACATCCACAACCCTTCAGTACCTTTTTTAAAAGATTTATTTAAGCCAGGCAGTGGTGGCACACACCTTTAATCCCAGCACTTGGGACCAAGGCCAGCCAGAGCTATACAGGGAGATCCTATCTCAAAAAAAAAAAAAAAACGAAAAAAAATTGTTTATTTTTATTTTATGTGTCTTGAGTGTTATGCCTGCATGTATGTACGGGCACCATCCATGTGTATAGTGTTTGCAGAAGCCAGAAGAGGACATCAGATCCCCGGGAACTGAAGTCACAGACAGTTGTGAACCACCATGTGACTCACACTTCTGGGGATTAAACCTCCAGAAGAGCCAGTGCTCTTCACCCTGAGACATGAGACATCTCACCATCACTAGTTCTCTCTCGTTAAGTATTAACTATATCTGAAGGAGAAACTCTGAGAAGCAGAACTTATGCCAAGGTGCATGTAATCAGATTGCCCTCTACAGAGGTTACAGCCTCTGTTTTCACAGCAGTGCATGCAAAAGCTTGTTTTCCCACAGCCTGACCCATACACTATACTGTACTCTTTCCTCTAAGTTAGTCTGCTAGATAGTAGGATCTTAATTTTAATTTTATTTTCTACTATGTGTGAAGTTAAACATTTTTGTTAAGGGTTATTTATGTATTCTTTCCTGTGAACTACTTCATATTCCTTATGCATTTTCATTTAGGTTTGTGATTTATTACTGATTCATGAAGACTCTTTACATATTAGGAAAATTAGCCCCTTTAAAATGTATGCATTATAAATATATAGGCTTCTTTAATAAAATGTTTTGGTGGCAGAATAGTTCTTTGCTAAATGAGCTTTTTGCTAATTAACCTATCATGAAGATGGATTCCGAGCTCCCTGTCCTCTGGTCGGATTTAAAGGCTTTGCTCTAACTTCCCGAGGCACTAAACAGACCTGACTCAATCAGTGGCAGGCTATTCTACTCAAAATGGAGAACTGTGAGGTTCTCCATTATTGTGCTTGAAGTCATTTCAGAGTTGAGAGTTAGCAGAACCCAGTCTGACTTTGTTGTTGTCATAGGGTCTCACTGTGTACCCTTGACTGGTCTGGACCGAGTAAGCCAGGCTAGCCTCAGACTCACACACCTCTGTCTTCCTTTGCTTCCCAAGTGCTGGGGTTAAAGGAGTGTATCACCACGCCCAGCCTGACTTTGTTTTTTGGTTTTTTGAGACAGGGTTCCTTTGTGTTGCTCTGACTGTCCTTGAACTCCCTCAGTAGACCAGGCTGGCCTCACAGAGATCCACTTGCCTCTGCCTCCTAAATGCTGGGATTAGAAGAGTACACCACCATCACCCAGCCTGACTTTGTTTTTAATGTTAAAGTGTGTGTGTAACTATATGCATACATACAGAGAAAGAGAAAGAGAGAGAGAGAGAGAGAGAGAGAGAGAGAGAGAGAGAGAGAGAGAGAGAGAGAGTGTGTGTGTGTGTGTGTGTG